TTGCATACACAGACCTTCAGTTAGGAAGCAGATATGATTTGCGGTGAGCATATTAGCAATCTGCATGGTCTTGAACTTAGAGCTCTGAGGAGAAATGTACTTCTAGGTTAAAAAAGAGAGTTGATGATAGACGTAATAATCAAGTAATAAGTACATTAGTCTCTTTTATATTTGTTTGATCACGAGGATAGTTATTACTGTTGTTGTGCTCCCATCATAAAATATGTGTTTGCGTTTGGCTTAGTGGATAAGAGCCTATTGATAGAATTGGGGTAAACCTTTTGGCAGGTATGTTGATGCTGTTCGTGAATTCAACAAGATTCTCCTCTACATCTTCAAGACAAAGCAGTACCACCAAAAATCACCGCAGTATGAGCAAATACTGAAGAAGAATGAGCAGATGTATGCATTACTTGCGGTTTGCCTCTTGCTCTGCCCTCAAACAAAGCTTGTTGATGAGTCTGTCAACTCTCAATTGCGAGAGAAGTATGGTGAGAAGATGTTGAGGATGCAGAGGTACGATGATGATGCATTTGGCCTTTATGATGAGCTCTTCTCTTATGCATGCCCCAAGTTTATCACCCCTTCGGCACCAAGTTTCGAGGAACCACTTGTCAATTACAATCAGGTACTATAGTTTTATTACTACACAATTATGATGACTTGTGTCTTGATATGTTTTAACTTTCCGACTTGGTCATCTCAGGATGCATACAGGCTTCAGTTGAAGATGTTTCTTTATGAGGTAAAGCAGCAGCAGCTGTTGTCTGGAGTGCGGACATTCCTTAAAGTCTACTCCTCCATTTCTCTTGCTAAGCTCGCAAACTACATGGAAGTTGATGAACCCACTCTAAGGTGAGGAACCGCGGGCAGAGAGCTTTCACTGGAAGTTTTTCAGCTATGTACTTTTGTCTTTGACATGTACTGATTTAATTGCAGGACCATATTGTTAACATACAAGCACAAGACCCACTCAGTTGATTCTGATGGCAAGATCATCTCCAATGCAGACATTGATTTCTACATCAACAATGTTACGGTCTTCCTACTTCCTGTGTATGTTTTTCCATCAATATACGCTGGTGTTTTAATAAGTAATCTTTAAAGCTGATGAAAATGCAGGACATGATCTACGTTGTGGAATCCAAACCCGCAAAACGTTATGGCGATTTCTTCTTGAGGCAGATTGCAAAGGTATGCAAACTGAATCTGAGACGTGTATGCAGACTTGCAGACATGATAAGAATCCGACTGTTTTGTTTTTTTCTTGGTTTGCACTTTGCAGCTTGAAGGAGTGATAAACGACATGGACCGCGTCAAGCTGGAATGAGAAGTTTTCTTCATCTCTCTCCTCAGTTTTCATGGAACCAAACTTTTGAGAAACTCTCTTCATTTAGTCAAATGTTGTAGCCTCGTTTTCATCTTTCAATCCAGAAAATAGATCCTCAACTCTTTTTGGTGCAACCATCTATGTTATTTTTTTTTTTCCATCGAGTAGAATACATCCCGAAAGATAAAAACATTCCTTGGTATCAAGTTTCAACGTTTGAAAC